CGAGGATTTCAGGCCAGACAGGATAAAGTGGTGACGAGGATTAAAGCTCATTTTGGTCCTTGCTTGCCCTGACCTAGCTCCTGCCTCCACCCCGCGGGTTTGATCCTGAAGGCTTTGCCAAGAGCTCCCCTGCAGCCCCCCGAGCACTGCTGGGGCCAGCCTGGCAGGGCTGCTCCGACTCCTGGCAGACCTTTGCTGCCCTCCCACGAAGCCTGGCTGATGGCACTGTCTGTCCCTCTGCCCAGCTCCTGCTCCGGCCAGGACAGGCAGCCAAGGCCAAGTCTGGCCAAGCAGCCCCGGGCAGCCCTACTGCGAGGATCATGGCACAGTGCAGCACCCTGGCTTTGCCAGCTCCGTCCGTGCCGCCGCCAACCCACGGCTGCTGTCGCAGATTTTTACCAGCGAACGACCTCCCCGAGATCCTGTTTAGGACCACAATGTCCCCAGGCGGCAGGAGCTTGTGGGGCAGAGCAGGCTTGATTTATCCAAGGGGCTGATCCCGCAAGCTCTGCCCTGCCCGTGTAGCCCACCCGCGGTACCGCATGGACCCCCTCGCACCGGTGGTTGGTTCAGGGCCACCCCATGCTCCCTGGCATGGAACGGCGAATAGCTGGTGACTTATTTGAATTCTTTGGGGAACGATCCTTTAAGATGGTCCATCTCCAATTCTGCTCTTGAGGGAGCTTTTAACTCTTTCCTGATGTCCCTGGAGCTATTGCAGCTGCCTGTGAGCCCCCTTGCTCTGCCTGCGAGCCCCTTTGCCGTTTGCCTCAGCCCTCCTGGTGCACCGTGGGTTTGCTGTGGAGCAGCACAGCCCCTGACAGCCCGTTATCATGGGGCTGGCTGTGCACGATGGAAGTATGGTTATCCCAGGGCCCTTAATTATAGAGATAAGGAAAATGAAGTTAAATTTGGGAGAGGGTGCAACTGAAATGAATAGTATCTGCTGTGTCTTGTGTCTTCAGGAAAGTTATCTTTGGGTTAGGGTGGGCACCTGTGGAGTCCAGACATTTCAGCTCCTGACTTTCCTGTTGATGCACCCTGTGATTTTTTTGGGGACTAGTGTCTAAGCGGGTGGGTGCCAGGGGAATGAGCGCTGCTGCTGGAGTGGGTGGAGGATGAGACCAGCTTTGCTACTGTCCGGTGAAAGCTGCTGTCAAGTTTTAACAAAATAAAAAAAAGAGTGTTTCTGCTCTCTGTTTTGACTACATAATTTATCATTTGCCTTTAAACTCGCATGAGAACTCCTTGCTGGGGGCTCTCCTAAGCAAGCCCGCAGAGCGGAGGGGAGAGCTCCGGTGCCATCCGGGCAAGGAGCTTTGGCAGGGCTATGTGTGCCGGGGCAGCCCGCAGCCCAGCAGCAAGCTCTTTTGAGGCTGGCTTTGCTGAGTCAACGGGGAAATGCTCTGCTTGCTCAGACCCTGGCCTGTCGTAGCTGCTTTGGTGCTTTTTTGGGTTACCTTCCCCTTGCAGCCGGACTGGGGCCACCCCATGTCCCCAGCTCTCTGCTGTTGTGTGACATGCACGTCTGGGGGGTGGGGAGGGGAAAGGACTGAAATTTGCAGGTAGGGCTCTAGCTGAAGCAGGCTGAGAGCATTTCCAGTGTCCTCCCCAGCGAGGCGGGCTTGGGGTGAAGCGCAGGGGACCCTGCTGTCCCCAGCCCCCTTCAGCCCTCGTATGTCACCCTGAGAAGCTGCTCGGTGACACTGGGGTCAGCTTTGGCTCTGCACTTCTGCCGGCCTGGGAATGCAGCAGGCAGAGCTGCCCCAGCTCAAAAAGCGCATGAATCTGCTCCTGGCCTTGCACCAGGCCAGGGCCATGGTGGCCTCGGGGGACTGGAGCCCCCTGTGCCTGTCATGGCCTGCTGGGTACTCCCTGCCCCGCTCCCTCTTGCCTGGGGACCTGGGGAAGAGCAAACAGCGGGAAGCCCCAAGATATCACCAGCAGGTACCTTGGAGCAATGGGGTTTCTGCCACAACTAGATATTGAATAAATTTATTAAATGAATAATATTAATATAATATTAAAAGGTATTTACTAAACAGGCAAGTGCTCCAGACAGATGCCAGATTTCAGACTGCAGGCAGGGAGAACTGGCGTGTAATGAAGCCATGGCTGCGTACCGCAGCCTTCGGGGCTGCCCTGGGTGCTCTTTGCCAGCCTGGCCCCGGGGAGGGTAGCTGCACGCATGGGTCCCGTGGGAAGGATAATATTAATATAATATTAAAAGGTATTTACTAAACAGGCAAGTGCTCCAGACAGATGCCAGATTTCAGACTGCAGGCAGGGAGAACTGGCGTGTAATGAAGCCATGGCTGCGTACCGCAGCCTTCGGGGCTGCCCTGGGTGCTCTTTGCCAGCCTGGCCCCGGGGAGGGTAGCTGCACGCATGGGTCCCGTGGGAAGGAAATCACTGTGCTCAGCACGGAGCACACGAGAGAGGCTGATGGGCCGGTTTCTGTTAATTGCCCAGCTGGATATCAGCCCCTCTTCATGTTGTTTCCCTAACTTCAGTTATTACACTTTAATGCTCCAGGAAAGGGGGGTGTCTGGATAATTTAGTTGTGCGTGCACTGGAGGACAACAGAAAGGCCGTGGCTTTGCTGTGGTCATGGAGGTAATGGGGGGGTTGGGAGGTGAGTGCTGCCTTAGCTGAGCCTGCAGCTCTCGCTGCAGTCGGAGGAAGCAACTCTGTCATGTCTCAGTGCCCCAAAACCTTCTCCTCGGTGCTTGCAGGGGAAGCTCTTAGGACACAGAGCAGGGAATCCTCACCGACCTCTGATTCATCGTGGCGAAAGGCTCCGTGAGTCCAGCCAAGTCCGGTTTGAATGCGGCGTCCCAGCTGGGACCCAGCTTGTTTAGTTGCAGCCTCTTCCCCCGCATGGATCTGGGCAGAGGGTGTGAGCGGAAGGGATGAACCACGGTGGGTGTGGCTGCCATCCCAAAGGGAGTGGGAAACGCATGGCGCTGGGGAGGGAGCTGGACCCCTGAGCACCGGGATCTGAAGCTGGGCAAGGGTGTAGCTGCGTGGTCAGCCCTGCAGCTCTGGGGCAACTGAAGTCACCTGGGGCCTGAGAGCTGCTCAAGGGGACAGGTGGTGTCACGCTGCTGCCCTGGCCATGCCAGGGAGGGAGAGTTGGGTGTTGCAGGGCTGCTTCATGCTCTGGCACTCCCTTCTGCATCCAGGGGTGGCAGAGATCAGGACGAGCCCCCAGAGCCCAGGGGATCCAACTCATGGGGAAAGGCTCCCCTTGTTTTTTCATTTTCTGCCTTGTGCAGCAGATGTTATACCTCCTGAGGCACCTAAGGGAAAGCAAAAGGTAGAGCGATCCCACAACGGTTAAATACAGGCGTGCCTGAGCCCCAGAACCACAGCAAGCACTCAGGCTAGCCACCCTTCCCAGCAACGTGAAGGCTGGAGAGACCCCTTCACTGCAGGGAGGGGGTGTCTAATCTAGAGCTTGAGCTGTCAGAAAACTGGCACGTGTATGGACCAAGGCTCAGACACAACGTGCCTCCCTGCACCCTTCCCATTCCATGTTGCCCAGAGCAGATGGGGCTTCACCAGAGTCCAGGACCACTTGCAGGCTCTACGCCACCTTGGTCGACAGAGCCACAAGCCCTCTAAATGCCCCCACGGCAGTGTGCCAAGGAAGGCGGTGCACAGCTGTCCCCCCTCCCCACATCTAGCTCTTGATGGCATTTTAATGCTCTTTAATATCTCTGGACCAAAAAGCATTCTCTCCGCACAAATAACACCTTGTGGCTGCTGCCTGTCTGTGCCTCTCTGAAAGCTTTGCAGTCATTAATAAAACTAGTGAGTCCTAACCTCCCCTGAGCTGGGGTGAATGTGTTTCCCCAGGGCTAAACCAGGGCTGAGTGGAGATGGAGCAGAGACTCAACCAGGGTTGGGATAACGCCGTCCTCGCCCTGCCCCGCTGGCAGGGGGTGGCACCTCGCTGCTGCTTACTCCTGCACGCTGATGCCTGAGCGAGTGCTGGGGCCAAGACACAACCCCTAGCCATGCACTTTGTCCCGTGGCTCCTCATAAGGTCCTTTGTAAAGTAGCAGTGATGACACATGTGACAATGTCAACTTTAAAGGCTGAAGGGTGGCAACGAAGCTCAGCTGCATCAGGAGAGCAGCCGGGCAGATACGCACACGCACACACAGGGACAATAACAGTGACGACTTTCAAAGTTAAACCAACCTCAAGCAGGTACCGGCACAAGCAGGACTTGAGCAAAACGCTAGCAAGGGCTTCTTGGGACCCAGCTCGAGGAGGGGAGGGCGGCCATGCTGGCGTGGCCGTCAGTGGGTTGGTGGTGGGCATTAGGGACAGCTCTTGTCATTGATCCTCAGCTAGCACAGCAGCCTCGCACCCTTTGCCTTGCCTGAACAGCAAAGCTTAGTGCCACCAGCCATGCTCAATGCCCCTGCAGTGCCAGGGGAGGCAGGTCCCAGCCTGGCTTTGGGACAGGATTTGGCTCTGCCCCTGCCAGCTCCGGTGGATGGGTCCACCGGGACACACTGCCCGCGAGGAAGGGGACACGATGAAGGGCTCAGTGCAGGCAGGGGGCTGCAGGGCGTGGGCACCCAGCCCTTCACTGCTGCTTTCAGACACGGTATGTGATGCGCTTGGAGCAGCTGGGACAGCCCATGGCACAAACCAGTGCCAGCCACCTTTTCACCGTCCCCTCTGGCCTGTCTGAGCCCCCAGGATGCAGGAGGGCCATGCTGCCAACAGCCTAAATGCATTATTCCTTTTTCTTTCCCTTTTACAGGCCTTTGCACTGAAGCCAAGTGAAGAACCTCGGAATTGCACTACACGCCATTTAACCCAGCCACGATTTCGCTAGCAGCAAAGCATCTCCACCACCACTGAGACCTGGAGTGCTCTTTTTTCCCCTCCCTGCCCATTGCTCCCATCTCTGCGCCTGGAAGCTGGTGCTCAGCAGTACCTCTTAACTCACCATCGATCCCGCTGGACCACTCCCCACCATGTTTCAGCGTCTCACCAGCCTCTTCTTCAGTGACAGCAACACGCCGGAAGGCCTGGAGGAGCCTAAACCTTTTGTCGAGGAGGAGGAGGAGGAGGATGGCTGGCTCATAATTGATCTTGCAGGTGAGAAAAGCAGAGAGGACTGGTTTCCCACAGCCTCTGCTGCACCTTGTCTCTCTGGATCTGGGCAAACCCCTTGAGGTGACGGCAGATGAGTGTCCACCATGTGTGATCCACTTTACTCTTCATCTCTCCTCCCCTGGCCCCCCCGTGCAGCCCACGGCACCCAGCCCCATGATCACCACAGCAGCCCCCAACCTGCTCCTCCTTTTTCCCTTTCCTCTCCCCGTGGTGGTGCCTGATGTCCCGCCAGCGTGGGAGCCGCAGCACCAGCGTCCCTGGCGGGGCCTGCTGCTGCCCGGGAGCCTCCAGGTGCCTCCGTGCCAGGGTGGGACCCCAGCACAGCACCCGTCCGGGGCCATCACCCAGGGTTTCAGTGTGATCCTGCCCCCCGGGGGCTTGGTGGGGTGGGGGACACCATCCTCCGAGGGCTGTCTGCCTCGGCCTCCCTGCGACACCCCTGCCGAAAGCAAACTGGAAGCCTGTTCTCCAGGGGAACACCAGTCCCCAGGCGCTGTGAGCGGTGCCTGCCTCTCCCAGCTGGGGACACACTGCCGGCAATCTGGCCACATTTGGGCCATTTGAGTCCATCAGGGGAGTAAACTTCCACTGCAAAGAGCTTATCTTCTCAAGTCATTCCCAGAGCCGGTGCCAACAGCACTCAGACAAGGGATGTTTGGCCCAAGGTCCCTATACCTAGAGAGCCCTCGGGCCTTCCCATTCCCAGGGGTGGCCACAACCATCTCGAGCCCCATTTGACACCAGTCAGGCAGATCAACAAATTCCTTGTGTGCTGAGAGCTTCTCCAGCTCCGTTAAGACCTTGGCGTTTCTATTGTAGGGCCGATGACTCAACCGATTGCAATGATAATTTTATGACCTTTCGCTTGCAAATCGAGCAGCAAACTTAGACAAACAAGCCTGCCTGTGCAGGAGCTGCTTGATGGCCGTGGTTTGCTTTTGCAGCCTCTGGTTAGTTGTGGTGCCCCAGCCCAAGGGAACCACAAAAGTATCCTGCAGGTTTAGGAGGAGGGTTTCATCCTCCCTCTTGCAGTCATCTGTTCTCCGAGCAGATGCTCCCTGCCTGTCCCCTGTGTGCTGAGCAGAGCTTGGTTTTGTGATGCAGGTCGTTCGTTAGGATTTTTGCACCATGCAGTGAGTTGGAGAGGGGACTGGATCATGGACAAGCCTGGTGGGGGGGACAGGGACAGCCCCGTGCCTGGTGGGAACCCTATGGAGAGCTAGTGGAGGTGGATGGGTGGTGTGGACACGGGCAGCCGTGGAGGATTCTCTGTCCTCTGGCCTCTCTGGTGACTGTCCCGGGGGGCTCACAGCAGTGACCTGGGAGGGGGCTGGTGGCAAGGAGGTTCCTAGAGCAACGGGCACACAGCTGCCTCATGTCTGGGCCAGCTGGCAACGGCTGCAGCATGCCCCAGACAGAGAAACACTGGGCTGTGCCCTGATCCCCTGGGTCCAAGACTGCAGCTGGCTCAGCGGGGACCCAAGGATGACTTTGGTACCAAAGGCTCCCATTTTTTTTCCAATCAAGTGGGCAGGCTCTGGGTGCAGAGCCAGCTTTCAGCAGTGTGTCTGCCTGGGACATGCCACCCCACTGCTCATCCCCACCACTGACTTTTCCCATAGCATTCCCTGGCCAGTGAGGGACCAGTTGATTTCTGAGGCTGGAGTTACGTAAAGCACCTTAAAAACCAAACCCGCTGGCTCCAGCCCCCATCATTCACCTTGGAGCCACAGCGGCCGGTGAGCATCTTACAGCCTGGCTCCCTCCCAATAGCGGGGCAGCCTAAAGAGCCTCCAAATTCCTTCCCTCTCAGCCAGGTCTTTGACCCACGTGTTACAAAATACCCCTGAATTACCCAGATCTCCCAGGAGCATTACAGATACTCCTCTCTCCCCATCACCCAGCCTGGCTCTGCTCAGCACTCAGGGAGGGCACAAAGATCAGCTCCTGGCGCTCAGCGATACAGCTGCAAGTGACCCAGGGGTTTGGGGATCCCGAAATGTTCCTTGTGGCATTAAAACCCACCTTGGCAAAGGATGGGCACAGGTAGCCATGGATGGCCGGGGCAGGGTTCAGCCGGGCTGGGTCCCCTGCTCCCTGCGCCTGCAGCCTCCCCGTTGCGGGTGTGCTGCCGGGCCGGGTGTGCTCCAGCCGGGCTCAATGGCTGTCTCCAGGCTGACAAATAACCTCCAGCCTGGCATGTCAACAACTATTAATAGCTTGATATCCGGTGACCTGAAGAAAGATGCTCTCGTGTTCACAAGGCTAATTGTGGCCTGCCTTAAGCCACAGGCTGGGGCATCATCTGCGGGAGGAGCCGGGGACATGCTGGGTGGCCAGTGCTGGCCCCGTGCTTCATGCACTCCGTTTCCCCCCTGCAAGAAGACATTCACCTCTGATTTCTCCTGCACCCTCACCCAGCCGCAGGGTCACTCATGTCCACGTAGATACTGCACTGCATCCGCATCGTGAGACCACTTCCCTCGATTCTCCCTGGTGGGGCTGGGAATGGGGCTGGGTCTCCTGATGAGCCCAACATTAGGTGCAGAATCCCTTCCCATAACACAATCAGTAATTCTGAGCACAGGCTGCCCAGAAAATCACCAACCCAAGTGCTTTTGCCAGGCGGAGGTGAGGAAGGGAAGGCGAGGAAGGCTGGGGTGTCGGAGGGTGTGGGGGGCAGCTCCTGGACCAACCACCCCAAACTCAGCCTCTAATGGACTGAAGCTGAAGGTGCGTCGAAAGCCTTTGCTGAAGAATTTGTTCCCCTGATTTCTTCCAGAAAAAAGGTGTGAACTGTTTTTTTCCTGTGTGTGTGCTCGGTTTCAATGTTTGCAAAGTGCTGGGTGGTGTGTGCAAGCACAGGCGGGCCAGCGTTCCTCCGGAGTGCCATGGCTCGGGTGCCGTAAGAACAGGCAAAAGCGGCGTTTCTTGCCAGCTGAATTTCTTCCTTTGTTTTGAGAAGGAAAAAAGAATGGCTGCAGTAAACCCTGCTGGTTTCTCCCACTTTTTGGTGAAACTGCCTAACCGGAACCATTCCCGTTGCTTGCTGGCTTAGCAAAGCCGGACCCCGCAGTACCGGCAGCCACCCCGGTGCAGAGGGTGCTGGTTGGGGTGCGGTGTGGGGCACTGCCAGCGTCTCCCTCCGCACAAGGTCCCGTCGAGGCCGTGCCCGTCTCTAGCGGGGGTGGTGGTGGTGGGGTGTCTCTTGCACTAACGATGCCCCTTTCTCTCCCCCCTCCCCTCCCCTCCCCACTGTACATGGTATGTGTGTGTGACCCCGCTGCGCCCCGCATGGCTCTGCACCCCCGCCACCCCCAGGCAGCTGTGCCCGCCCCGGCGCAGCCCAGCGAGTGGGTGCTGGTGGGACTGGGGGCTCGGGCCGATTCA